CATTTTAAATTATCATATTTTTACACACTCTCCATCAATTTTCTTATCAGTTGGCAGCTTGTCATGAACTACTACCAGCAATATTTGAGTGCCTGTGTGTGTGTGTGATGTGAATCTCTCAACTCCTACTAGTTGAAGCAAAATGGAGAACTGAACAACACGGTTTTCTGATTTCTGAAGAAAAAAGAAAAATATAATCAAGGAATTATCGATAAACAGTGAGGTGGTTTTAGTCAATTTGGCCACATTATTTTTTAATTATTGATAGCCGGTCACCTGATTGGATGTGGACTAAAGGTTAAATTGAGATAATTAGTTATTATTCTAATTTAAGTTATAAGCCATGATTTGGCTTTTAACGGTGAAATTTTCACTTAAACAGTTGAAATGCGTTGTCTTTTGTGGTAGGATTACACTGGCGAACAGGTTAATACTGAGAATCTGTATGCAGTACTTCTTGGGAACAAGAGTGCTGTCAAGGGTGGAAGTGGCAAGGTTGTGGATAGCAAGCCCAATGACAGGATCTTCTTGTACTATTCTGATCATGGAGGTCCTGGAGTTCTTGGTAAGTAATTTTTCCGCCTTTTTCATGTTGCTCTGCTTCGCTTCTTAGCCTTCAAGATGCCAGTAGTCTTGACATTGGTCGTAAATAGTTCAGTTGATAGTTCAACCATAGCAACATCATCCATTTCACTTCAAATTTGTTCCTTTGTTTCGGTTTTAATCAAGGTTTAATTCGGAAAGAATGCATAACTGGCCTATACCATGTGAACACAGGAATGCCAAATATGCCTTTTCTATATGCAATGGATTTCATCGAGGTTCTGAAGAAGAAACATGCATCTGGGAGCTACAAAGAAATGGTAAAGAGACCATTTATTCTTATATCATAATTAGTGATTCTATAGGCTGCCGAGACAACTTACAAACAATTGCTTGCTGACAAGCTTTTGTTGCGGACAGGTAATGTATATAGAAGCTTGCGAGAGTGGGAGCATCTTCGAAGGGATCATTCCTAAGGCCATAAACATTTACGTGACGACAGCATCAAATGCGGAAGAGAGTAGCTGGGGAACTTACTGTCCTGGGATGGATCCATCTCCACCCTCGGAGTATGTCACTTGCTTAGGGGATTTGTACAGTGTTGCTTGGATGGAAGATAGGTGTGTATACTATTGGCTCCTTCTGTCCCACTCATCACTTGCTTCCATAAACCAACCAGTTCATTCTTCTTCCACGGTAGTAGTTCACAATTAATAAAGGTCCCTTTCCGAGGTAATCAATAGTTTATCAGCGTTATTCTTTTTTATTAACTCTCCCTTCTCCTGCAGTGAAACACACAATCTGAAGAAAGAAACAATTAAGCAGCAATATCATTCGGTAATGCCGACAATTATCACAAACGAGCCTTTCTACACAGCTTAATTTGAATTTGTTACTGCTAAAGGGCTAACGTAACGCGTGATTTTTTGTTTATGCAGGTGAAAGAGAGGACTTCCAATTACAATACATTCACTTCTGGATCCCATGTGATGCAATATGGGAACGAAAGCCTCAGAGGAGAGAAGCTTTTTTTGTATCAAGGTTTCGATCCAGCAAGTGTAAACTTCCCTCCAAACAATGGCCACATTGGTGCGCATATGAATGTTGTTAACCAGAGAGATGCAGAGCTTGTTTTCCTCTGGCAAATGGTAAGTGCAGCAAATGGTTTGAGCATGACAATTTATATGTCCTCAAGCTCCATAATTTTATTTTGGGTCGTGCAGTACAAAAGAGCTGAAGGTGGGTCAGAAAAGAAGACCCAAATCCTCAATCAGATTAAAGAGACAATGAGGCATAGAACTCACTTGGACAGCAGCATGGAATTGATCGGAACACTATTATTTGGACCAAAAAAAGGTTCCGCCATCCTTAAATCTGTTAGGGAACCCGGTTCGCCCCTAGTAGATGACTGGAGATGCTTAAAATCAATGGTAACATAGCATCAATGCTCTGTTCAAGTCTATTTTTCTTTGCTGCGCATTCATTTTGTTATTAATTACTAGCAATATGTGAACTTCGCAAATTGTAGGTTCGATTGTTTGAAACACATTGTGGATCACTGACTCAGTATGGAATGAAACACATGCGAGCATTTGCCAACATTTGCAATGGTGGCGTCTCTCTAGCCTCCATGGAGGAAGCTTGTGTGGCCGCTTGTAGTGGCCATGATGCTGGGGAAATGCATCCTTCAAACCAAGGTTACAGTGCTTAATAGCCGGAAAATCTGGAATTAGCTTTCAGTATGCTGAATATGTTATTGTACATACTGTTAGATGCTTTATCTCGGCAGTAGCATTTCTATCCCCAGGTGTTCTTAGTGGGTGATATTTGTGGGAAAAAAAGGGCTTTCGCCCTCACTACTTGTCAATATAAATTTCAACCTCTATGCATGTGTGGCTTGTTTTCCCATAAAACTGTACTCGAGATCGGTTCCCTGTATGTCTAGGATTTCTGAGGAACTGCTAACCAGATTAATCTTATCATAACAACAAAAATGAAGGGGCTAACTTGGCTACGGAGATGAGTTCTAATGACCCTTTATGAGAGACCAGATGGTTACTATCAATAAGACATCAATGAGCTTATGAATTGGGCTTTCTCTTGAAATATTATATGTGGATCTTGTCTAAGCCCGAGATTCAGTGTAAACGTGTAGGAGCAGTGAACCGAGAGTTCCTAACAAAGCCCAGATGTACTTAATTCAAGGTCACTTCGACGAAGATGTTTGCAGCCCAAAAGTCACTTATTCGCTTATCCCTTTTACATCCTTTTATTTAAGAGAAAAGTTAATTAATTGGAGAAAAGTTAATCAATCTTAGATTACAGTGAATTTTTTTTTATAAAAAATATAACAGTATATTTGTACGGATAAAATAAGATTCATGTGTATGTATTCATTAAAAAAAAAGCTAGAAGAGGTCATTATTTTTCAAAATATATCAGTGTATTTTATTGCATATACATTTACGTTTTATTAAAGATTCATAGAGTGACATGATTATTTTGTTATTATAAAATAAAATAACTTGGTTTGAAAGTTACTAGTATTTTTCATGGGATAAAATTGTCATTATTAAATTGACAAGGAATATCTCTGTCAAATAATATTTTTATTACATAATAAACATTACTAAGTAGCTATTAAAATCAAAATTTATTTATCTGGTTTCATGGAGGTTGTTTTTGAAATTTTATTTTAATTTGAAAGTTGAAATTTCTAAGTTACCCTTGAAATTTAATATTTTTTGGCTTGTGTTTAAGGGCTTGTCATTTCATCTTGATTTTGTTGTAATTTTCAGGTAGAATCAAGATAATTCAATATTTTTTTAGAATTTAAAACATTATTAAAAAAATTATTGATATATGTGTTGCATGAAATGGCATGGGAGAGACGACCATACTCTTTTGAAGACACGTGCAATGCCTCTTGACAATAAAAATGGCCACCCATGATGTCACCTTAAGTATTGAATGGCGACGAATCCTAGAAGACGATGACTCTGTGTTATTCATGTGGTTCGGTCATGATTAAATTTTTATTTTTCTCCCCTCTCTTGTCTCTCTTCTTGGAAATCATGTTGGGCAAACCAAAATTGAAAGTTATCCTCTCAATTGTAATTTTTATTTTTTGATTGTTTATTATTTTTTTAATTTATTTACTTATTTATTTATTTTTTTAATCTCAACCCCTTCACATTTGGTTCTATTTTATTTTTATATAAAACTTGGTTCTTATTATTTTTCTTGCTATTTTTTATATCATTTTCTTAATTAATTTTGCTTTTCAATTTTATAACTCATCATTTTGTTTTTTTATTTTTTATGTTTAATTTGATTATTATTCTTTTAATTACTTTTTTTTTTAATTTCACCATATAACATTGAATTTGTTAAGAATAAAATTTTGTAATTTTTTAAAACGATGATCTCAAACTCATAACCTAGATCATCGGTATGATATGTTAATTCAGATTGCATCGGTTTTTTTATTCTTTTTTATACTAATTTTTTTTTTAATTTCATTCTTTTATATTTAGTCACTAATCTTGTAAAAAATGTGGTCGTACATTTGTTTTATTTTTAAATTTGACCTCTAAAGCTTTAATTGTTTAGAGCATAGTTTTAAAACCCAGCTCAGTCCAAGGCTGAAATCGGGTCAGGTTTAAGAAAAAATAAGGGAAGTAAAAAATCTAAGCGGCTTGGTAAGACCCAGTCAAAAACCTGATTGCAATCTATTGATTATTTTTTAAAACTAAAATGACATCATTTTGTTTTATTAAAAAAATAGGATTGACCTGGGTGACTCGATCAAAACTCGATGACCTGGACAAAACCCATGGCCCAGGCCTTGGGCTGGGTCGATTGCTGGGTTAAAAACTCTGATTTTAAATCAATGAAACTATTGTTTTTTTGCTAAATTTAGCATTAACTGAGCGTTATAATGTTTCTCGATATCATCAAATTCACATATTTAACCAATTAAAATAAATCACCAAGTTTATTTTCAAATAAACTCAATGATAAAGCATCAATTTGAAAAAGAAGAAATTAAATGAAGTAATGTGAAAAATTGAAAGGACCGCAAAAAAGAAGGATAAACATTTTTCCCTACTTGCTCAATTCAATTCCTGCAAAACAAAGGGGTTGAACATTTGTCTCAAATTCAAACTTGGTCCAAAGGCTCAATTATTTTAAATTAATAAAAATAAATTTTATTTTATCAAACCAAACATCAATTAATGACCATAATTCTTTTTTGACATTGCAAAAATCTTCATATTTACAAAAGTAAAATAAATTACCAAACTTAATTCTAAATAAACGTTAGATGGTTTCTCTCTAATACTATAATAACTTCACCATTAATTTTAGTATTTTTTTTTGGTTAATTAGATGGTTTTGCCCAAAAAATTCTCTACCTCGACAAACAACGAAAGTAAAAGGATTGAAAAAAAGAATTACTAAAAGCAATCATTTTATTTCATCTATTCACAGAAAACTAATGGAATTTAATTTTCATTAAAAGATGATAAAAATATTTGTAGTGCAAGCTCAAAACCCACCAATGACATTAAATATCACCAATACTTATAACGCCTCTTCCATATGCTAGTATGGCAACTTTCCCAGGCGGCAATCCTCATCTTTACCTTCTGAAACTCCGAATACCCACACGGTATAGTAATCCCACCCGAATGATTATACCCGTTTACCCTCTCCGTTCTCTGTAATAGCTCTGCAAAGAGAGGGTGATTGAAGAAAATGACAGGCACCAATTCCCTCCTCGTGTCTCCATCTGATTCGCCCACGTACACAGCCAAGCGTCCTTTGGGTACCTCCATTGGTTTCGCATGACCCAATTTGATATAACCCGGATCCGAATTTGGAAAACAGAGAGTTTTAGCTCCACGTGTAAAATATCGAGCCATGTCCAAGATTTTGGAAATGGTATTGCAGGACCTTCTTGGGTGGTCCATGGAGCACAAACGAGCTGGCTCTCTTCTGCGTTGGGTGATCCATTTGAAGAATCTTGCTAGTTTCTTGCGTCCAAGCCTGAACCCTCTAATCCTCTTGATCATGATTGTCGATGGAATTTGATCAGAGTGACAAAAAAAAAAGGAAATGGGTTTTTGGCGACTTAGAGGCGTCCAGTTACAGATGGGATACCTTGAAATGAAGTACTAGGAAATGGGTTTTTGGCGACTTAGAGGCGTCCAGTTACAGAAATAACTGGATTTCGAAATCTTTTGTTTCTGGTGTTTATTCTGTATGGAGAGTCAAGTTGCCACCAGGCGGGGCATGCTCTCTAGTCTCTCTCTCTCTGTCTGGGCCATGGACTCTTAAATTGTCGAGGTCCTCTTGGAGAGTTGAAACTGTGCCGTGTGGACCATGAGAACTTGGAAGGCTCAAAACTGTGTACTTGTTGCGTTACGGAATTTGGTATTGGACACGATAAGAAGGGTAGCTTCGATCATGGCCACTCACTCATTTCTTGGACTTGTCTAGGATTGAAAAATATCTAATATCGAACTAAACTTGCTCTTGACAGTCAGTAGCAAATCCAGAAGAAACGAAAGATGCGTACCGCCAGTACTCTGTTTTTAAATTAGCAAGAAAGTTCGTAAGTTGGAAAAAAAAAAAAAAACAATAAGTCTTTGAGATTGAGCTTTTTAAATTAAAAAATAAAAGGGGTTAGAATTCAAAACGCCGTGAGAAGAAACATGTCATTGAATTATATGCGCGTGGACATTAACAAACCAAAGCATGTCCAGATTGTTCACCGACAAATGAATATGATATCTGTAACAAAATCCAAGATATATAAATAAAATATTATTTAATATTTAAAAGAGTGGCAAATATTTATGATCATGGACTTCTCTCTTTATCTAGGAAACTTCATGCTTACCATAAAACTTCTGAATAAATGTTAAAACAGTAACTTAATATCTTTATAGAAAGATATTAAATAACTCAAAAGAATTTTGAATTTTAAAAATAAAAATATTTTTTTTTGAGCTTTGAATTTGATAATGCTCTAAAATAAAAATATTTTTATCTTAAAAGATAAAAAGTTATGAATCCTTTACTTGGATGATTCAAAAGATATTTATACCTCTTAACCTTATCATTTCAAAAAAAAAAAAAGCTTAAAAGTTATCTACTTTTGATGATGTTTAAAATCTAGAATATATAAATAAAAAGTCATTTAGTGTTTAGAATAATAGTTATGTCTTCAGTATTTTGACTTCTTTTCTTTAATTTAAGAAACTTCAGGCTTATAATAAAAGTTTTAAATATTTGTAAAAATAGATCCAATTCAGAGGATTTAAAGATCTTCTAATGATAAAATTAGCATCTTTTTGGGAAATATATTAAATAACTTAAAATATTTTTAAGTTCTAAGAACAAAGATATTTATTCTTAAGTTTTAAGTTTTTTAATGATTTGTAATCTAAATATTTTTATTTTAAGAGATAAGAAATTATGAACCCTTTACCTGGATAGTTTAAAGAGTATTTATACTATTTGAACCTTGTTGTTTCCATAAAAATTAAAGAGCTGGCAAATCCTTTATTTTGGACAATATTAATAGGAATCAAATATTTGTTATATATCATTAATGAGATAATAAGTATAGCAAGTTCCTTAAAGGACCTTATATACACTTATAAGCATAAGGAAATAACTATCTTTGTATAAATATTTATTCTAGATGGAAATGCATGGCGGTTTATTACGTCTTTAACACATATATTATAGAGGATTATTTAGGATTATGCATAAAGTCTTAGTTAAAATTCTTTGGATTTGGTATGTTTGTCAGATCCATGTTACTTTAAACTTGATTAATTGTCAAGTCCAAGTATTTGAAGTCCGGTATGCTTGGCAAACCCATATTATTTTGAACAAGTTTATATCTAACAATTTTGGATTCGACATGTTTGCTAGACCTATGTTATTCTAAACTTGGCTGATTGCCAAGTACAAGTATCATGGGTTTGACATGTCTTTAAGACCCGTATTATTTTGGATTTGACTGACTGCTAAGTTTGAGTGTTTTGAGTCTATCATATATGTATAAAAAACATTAACATACACACACATAGAAGGGAAGGTAAAAACATTGTGCATCAAAACTGAATTTACTATTCATTTCAATAATAAAATGATGGTTTTGTCTTTCTAAAAAAGCCACTTGCTTTTTTTTCTATAGTTATTTTTATCTTTTCATATGACACATTAGTCATTAAAAGATTGTCTAATGATATAATTGTATTTTGCATTTTTTAAGCATAGTAAAATGATTTTAATGCACCAAAAATTAAAAAATTATAACACTAGAGAAGAGGGGCATGCCTATCTTTTTATTTATTCATGTATAGTAAATTAAGAAGTATACCATTAGAGTGGTCAAATGTAATTTGTTTCTTTTAATATCGATTAAATATTATTTAATTTTAAAAAATTTATGGCAAGTGTGATACAAGCATCAACATATGAGTGGTGTTCGTGCCCTTTAAACGCTATTTGTGGTGTCTCCCGATGGCATAAAATGCTCTTTTATCATGTCATTGGATGCTCCACCACATCCTCTTCCTTTTGGAATGACTTTTGTCGATGGTGGTAGGATGGTTTGTCTTCAGTCGACTTTTTTACTTCTTCTTTTCTCTTTCTTATCTTAAAAATGCAAGTTGCTCCTCTTTTATTTTTAATTTTTTTAATTTTTTTGTTAAAGTTTTATTTGTTTTCAATTTAATCCTTAAATTCTAATTTATCATGTATATTTTTTTTTTAATTTGATCATTTTTTAATTTTTAATTTCTTTTCTTAATCCTTTTATAAAAGTTATGATGTTTTCAATTTCATCATTTAATCCAAATTATGGTGAATTGTTTTTTATAATTTCTCTTTATTCTTTTGATGTTTTGTCCTTTTGTTAGATTTGTTTTTCTTTTCAATCCCTGAAAAAAATAATCTTGCCTTCTAATTTATTTCTTATTTTTATTTTCACCCTCGTTCTCTTAATTATTATTTTATTTTTATTTTTAGATCATTTTGTGTTGTTGATTTTTTTTTTAATTTCATCATTCAACATTTAATTTGTTGAGTATTGAGCTTCATAATTTTTTCATATATAGTGCTTCGGGTCTAATAATCTAGATTATAAGTTGAAAAAGTTAATGTGGGTTGATGTTGTCTCTATTTATTTATTTTTTTTAATTTCATTGTTCGTCATTAGTTATTTTTTTTAAAATGATTTGTGGTTTTATTTAATTTTTTTTCTACTGTGTTTTCTTAATCTTATAACCTATGCCATGAGTTTTGTGGGTTAACTTGAATTAATTTATTTTTTATTATCTAAGTTAAATATCTATCACGCTATCTTATGTTGACCCAAACTAATTTTTTATCTTTTTTTAATCATGAGGGTATTTTTTTTGAAGTTATAGTGATTTTTTAAAATATTTAATTATTAAAATTGTTAAATTTTCATTATTTAATTAAAATAAAATCAATTTATTAACACCCGATGGAGTATTATAACTTAAATTGTTTATTTTTTTTATTTTTTTAAAATATAGTTGCATCAACATTATTTTTTATAAAAAAAAAATGTATACCCGCGGTATACTATTGAGCTTGGACTAATTTCATTTGCGTTCCAACGCGCGGAAAACACATTCTTATTACGCAAACGCTTTTTCGATTATTAGTATTTTTTTTTTTTTTCCATAAAGAGCCTTCCAGATCATGTTGTCAATACTATTATTTAACACGTTGCCAGCCGATCTTTTTCAGCGATTTATGGCAAAGCATGAAATTGTATGATTATTCTATTTAGTATTTGCTTCTCGTGTAATTATACTATTTACTGAAGTGATAGACAATGGCCCTTAATTACACTGGACATGTCGGGAGTCAATTATTGTTCAATGAGCACATCTAATACCAGATTAAAACATGAAAATTACTACAAATTAATGAATGACCAGATTTATCAGACAAGCAGACAAAATCTGCCCTCCTATTCTTCCGTTGTCCACGGGACTTAAGCTCTGCTAATAAATGCTCAAGCATACATCATTGATCAAGGTTATTATTTTTTATTTGATTTAATTTTAATTTAAAAAATTAAATTAAATTAAAATTTATATTTTTTTAAATTATAAATCAAACTCAATCCACTAATCAATTCAAATCAACAATTTCAATTTAATTCAGTTTATTTTTTTTCAAAACTAACTAGATTTGTTTCAATTATGAAAGAAAACTGATTGAAGATTTTAGTAATTCAAAAAACAAAATTCAAAACTACAATAAAATTATGTTGCTGGTTGTGTTATAAAAACAAGATATTTTTTTAGTAGGGAAGTGATAATTGTAGATAATTTCAAACAAGAATTTACTACCAAACTATAACAAAAAAATAATTTTCAGATGAAATTTTAGCTAGAAAACGAGCAGAAGAGGACAAAAGACAATAAAAAAAATACTTTTCTTACTCAAAAACCAAGTTATTCTTTTTTTTTTTGTGAATTTAATGAATCAACAATCTTCAGACACACATAGATGATGATAAATTCAATATTAAGTCAAGTTGTGGAAACCAAAGCAGATTTTTAAGAGAAAATATTCTTCAATTTATTCACAAACAATTTAAGAAATCCATTTAAAACCCAGATGGATTTTCTCAGTGAATATAAGCAAGTAAGCGATGAAGAAAATACTTGGGTTTTCTCATCTCTAACCACATAAAACTAAGAAATCAGGGAAAAGAGGGAGGAGAGTGGAGGGGGCAGGTGGGGGAATGGGGAGCAAACTAAGGAGGGAGGGGAGGGTTGGCTACGGGAGAAAATGGAATTAGAGGAATAGAGAATCAGTGAAAAAATAAGAGTTTTATATCTAAGTTTGTATTGAGGTTGAAACTTGAAACTAAACTGGTTTGGTTTACTTAAATCGATTTCAGATTTTTTTATATTTTTAATTAATTAATTTAGTTTTTTTATTGATTCAGTTTTTTTATTAATATTTTTGATTTTTTTAGTTTAATTAATTTTTAGTTGTTTTTATCACCCCTGCCAACTATCTCAACGAGAAACTAATATTAATCATGATTAACATGATATAAATCATATTACTAGACTTGGTGGATCTGCCGAGTGTTTATCAATCTAGCTAATTATATAATTTATGAAAAGAACAATTTAATAAATAGTTACATTTTGTCTTGGTATGCAGTCATGGAGACCTGCGAACACGTACAACCGGATTTTCTTATTAAGCGGCTGCCAAAACCCCAATAAACACGTCAGTAGATTTGTCCTCAAGTGCTCAAACTTTGGTTGTCTTGACCATGCCTTTTCTGTCGGAGAAGGAGTTGACTTGAATGTAATTTTGCTTAGCTTACCAATTTGCTAAGCCCACTTAGTGCCTGTTGGGTACTATAAGTGAACTAGGCCAGATGGGCTAAGC